GGGGAAATTGTTCTCTGTCCCCCCCACCAGCAAAGACTTATTTTAGTGTGGGCAACAATTAATTTTACCTGTCAGAAGCAGTGGCTGTTCAGGCAGCACCGTTTTGCAGTGTTCTAAAAGCCAAGAGGGGTCCAAAAATCAGGCCCTGTTCTTCTCAGCTTGTGGTTAGTTAGCTAACGACATATGCAAAATTGGATACGATACAGAGAAGATTAGCATGGCCCCTGAACAAGGATGACACGCGTGATCGTGAAGCGTTTCCATATTTTCTTAACTCATGACCAGGGGAATTTTGAGTCTCTAATAGGGTATCCTGCCGTGACAAACTTCACATGCAAATGACTGCAAAGGACCCACTCACACACTGGAAAATTTTAGAGTGTATAACTCAAGAACCGTGTGGGCTTTGGACCCGAAAAGGCCAACACACGCTCATATGACAGTCTGGAACAAGTGGGTAAAATTTGCTAACTCTACCTATAGTAGAAAATAGAACTTTATTGATCGCACAATGGATAAATTACCTCTCTGCATTTAACCCATCCCCTTGGGGAGCAGTTGGCTGCCAGTGTTCGGCGCCTGGTGAGAAAGGTGGGGTTAATGGTCTTGCTCAGAGAGCCACCTGTGGGTATCTCAGATAGCACATCTAAACACTAGGCCAATATTCCCCCATATGCAACAGTTTGGATAGCCCAACGAGGTGCAACACTGGAGTCCTTGTATTTTCCATGAGGCAACCTCTAAATATGCTGCTTTAACAGTAGACTCTCTTATTTTTGCCAGCAGGGTATCTTCGTACGGTCATAGGACCCTACCACCAATTTTAGGCCAAAACGATCAAGATTGTCGTACAGGGGTGAATTTCGGATATGATGTTTGAGGCCTCAGTCTGAGTGGAGCCTGTGAGTTTGATGTCCCAGGTCCTCATGGTACAGTCGCAGCAGCGTCTGAGATTGTCAAAATCTGCATTTTTGATGGCTAATATCTCATAGATGCTTTGTCCAATCTGTACCAAACTTGATTTCTGACTCCCTCCTCTGATACTCTCTAAAGTAGAAAAAGCCCAGCTTTCTAGAGCTTTCCACTGGCTGTTTTTCCTTCAAAAGAATCATAGCTGACTGAGACTGATGGCTTTTTCCTCAGTGACAGGGAGCTGCGCACTGTGTAGTTGACCTTAGACTTTTAGAAAGTGACAGCCAAAAAGGCTGGAAAATTTCATTCCCATTCAAGGTAATTGGAGGCATTCCCCTTTTAGTCTTATCTGATTACCTTGTAGATTTTATGCCTGTATTTTACAAGGTATATAGGAATCATGAATGGACTCTTTGCCACGGATCCCGTCAGCTCTGTGTCAATTGGAAGAATAAGCATCTCCAACAAACTAGGGTGGCTCACTCATATCAAAATAGGTGCCTTTGATCTGAACAGATGATGCTTTTGGGCTCCGCCTCCTCTTATAAAGGACACAATAGCTCATGCCTGATCTTAACAAGTGCTGGAGGTTGGGGGGTTTCATTGGCCACCGCTTACCAGCATTCAGCTGCCATGAATGGGATGCTTGACTTAGACCGCTCCACATCATACTTACCTGGCAGGGGGGATACCTTGATCATGAAGGAGGTTCACCCAGAGTGAGGCTTGGCCATTGCACCCCGGCTGTGCTGACCTTTGCGAATTCCCCAAATGTGGGAATCTCGACTGCATAATTTGTGGTAGTGGGGGACTGCGTACGCGCTCTCCCCTGGTTTATGTCCAAAGAAGTACAGACTATTGGAGGTGATTGAATTTCCTGTCAGACCGTCATAGCACTTGAGTGAACAATATAAAATATATGCTATCCCTAATACAAAATTGTCAAAAATGAAATATTTGCCATATCGGAAGTGTGAATAATGGTTATGGATCTTCTTCAACATCTGCCGGGTGATGGTGCTAGCCACTGAGTTTAAGTCAATTAATTCTGTCACTGATTATTCTCAATTCATTAACTGAGACCGGGGTTTGGGTTAATGAACTGAGACCAGTCAGTGGCAGAGAATAACATTTCAGTGGCATCCATCTCTATTTAATGAAATCATAGTGGATTTATCATTGTTGAAGCAGAGGGAAAAAGGAAATTTTTTAGAATCTTGCTCAGTCCAATCATATATAGAAAATAAATATTTTGGTTTTGTTCAAGTTTATACAGATGCATCTAAAAGCCTAAGTAACAACAATGGGGTGTCATTTATCGTCCCAGAATTTAATATTAAAAAATGTAAGAGGATTTCTGATGACGTATCAGTGTTTACAGGGGAAATGATGGGAATTATTTTGGCTTTGAGTTGGATTGAAGATGTTCGTCCTTTAAGAAGTTTAATTTGCTCTGATTTAAGCTCATCATTATATTTAATTAAAAATAATCATTCCAATAGTAGACCAGACCTTCTATTGGAGATTCAGTTAATACTTTATAGAATTCAGACCATGGGATTAATTGTAATTTTTACATGGGTTCCATCTCATATAGGAGTAATAGGTAATGAATTGGCAGACAGATATGCAAAACAAGCTTCAAAAAACAGTTGCATTGAGATACTGATTCCATTTAGTAAAGAGGAGATAAAATCTATTATAAAACAAAAGGTTAAGGAAAGATGGCAGAAGCAGTGGGAGGAGGAAAGGACTGGTAGATGGCTTTATAGCATTCAAAGGAAAGTTGGGGTAATGAGGGGAACAGGAAGAAGTAGAAAAGAAGATCATATCATATCCAGGTTACATTTTGGTCATACAGGCTTAAACAGTACATTATTTATAATGGGAAGACATCCATCAGGAAATTGTGAATTTTGTTTTCAAGAAGAGACCGTAGAACATGTTTTGTTGTTTTGTCCAAAGTACTCTGAGGAGAGAAGGAAATTAGAATATCGACTTCTAAAGAATAAGCTACAATTAAAAATATCAGATATGTTGGGATATTGCTCCTCTTCTGAATATTTACGTCATTTATTAAGATTTCTTAAGAAAACTAAACTGATAGAAAGGATTTAGTTTTTTTTTTTTTTTTTTTTTTTTTTTTTTAAGTTGCGTCGTGATCCACGCTCCTTACCAGTAGGTGGCGGTAATGCACACCAATAAGTTGCTTGTCAACCGCCATTAAACAAGAAGAAAGAAAGGAAAGAGAAGAAAAGGCTACAGGTCGTTCTTCTCTGTGCAGAGGGGAGGGGGAGAGGGACGTTCGCATCCCGTTCTTCCCCTTACCCGCCACCAGGGGGCGGCAAAGGAGCCAAAAGTGATGCACAAACGCTCCTCTGTCCATCTGATAAAGGCAAACCATCACTTTCCAGTCTTTTGCTGATTAAAAATATATTTTAAAATAAAGCATAGATGTGGTGAAATACATAGAAAGAAGACGTTTATTAAACAAACTGGCAGCAGTAATTCACAACAGCACTTAGCATCCAAAAGACAGCCATGAAATGAAACAGAACAAAGTGCAGGAGTATTCATAACACATGCATTACACAAAGCTGCAGCAGTGCTTTCAAGTTATTTAAAACACCACTGATTTTGCATCCCAAAGATAGCCATTAAATAAACAAGCAGCCATGAAATGAAAAAGAATAAAGTGCAGGAGTGTTCATAACACATGCATTACACAAAGCTGCAGCAGTGCTTTCAAGTTATTTACAACACCACTGATTTTGCATCCCAAAGATAGCCATTAAATACACAAACAGCCATGAAATGAAATAGAATAAAGTGCAGGAGTGTTCTGTTTTGCTTTACCTGCTCTGTTTTGCAGCAGGCCTGATGAGTCCTGAAGTTAGATGCCCACAGCCACTTGTCGCTGCAGTAACCAAGCATTACCAAAATAGGCTGATGGAAGAACCTCTGGTTTGATGGTGACTGAGTGGTGATGAGTATCACCTGCCTGTAATCGGACTGAATTGAGTTTCCTCCATGAAACAAGTTGTTTTGAACTGGAGCTATAGATAAACAATGGATATGAACAATTTAAGAATAAAACCTGCAAAGGAACACAATAACAAGAAACACTATAAAATGAACTACAAACTATTTACATGTGATATTAAATGTCTTTTTTTTTTTTGGGGGGGGGGGGGGGGGGGGGGGGGCTTTTGAAAAAATTATTTTTTGAACTCTTTTTTCCACTCCTCCACGCTCTTACCCCCAATTGTGGCGCAGTAAGAAACACAGCCCACCCTGGTGTGTCCGGTGTCCAGTCTTTTTGGCTGCCCGCACTTGCTGCAGAGGTACACCTTGTTTTGACTCGGTGGCCCCTCCCCAGCCTCCGCCAATTTCCTCCTCCTGCAAAGTGTTGTGCACAGGTTGAGTTCTGTGGTGAGGCGAGGCCTCCCCATGTGGTCCCTGACAAACAGCGTCCGGCTTATCCACTCCTGCTGCTCTGCTGTAAGCGCTGCCCTCCAGGACTGAGGCAGCGTCTGCAGAAAGAAGAAAGCAATTTAACTTGCAAACGAGGCTCCTACTGGTGCCAGAATGCTTGAAGTATAAAGTCTCGGTCAGCAAACCTCAGCAGCAGGGGGTACAGGGTCTCATCTGGACGGGGTCTCCTGCGTGGAGGGTGGCTCTGGAGGATCCTGCGGCTGCAGAGGTTCTCCCTGCTCCTGCGTGGCCTCCAGCAGCTCCTCGTCAGTGGGTTCCCCCTGTCCAGCAGGGGACACCCTCTGAGGTAGAGAGGCGGTGGAAGGACCCGCCTGTTCATTCGATGTTGAACAAAACACACGTCTTAGTAAAACACAAGTTCCATCTGCAGCTCCCACAGTAAGCACAAAAAGAAGCTGCAGAAGCAGCAGCAGGATGCTAGTAATGATTAATGGCTACAAAGGATAAAGACAGGGAAGGAGTGTGATTGGGTGAAAACAAGAAGAAGAAGAAACGGGTGCCATGATGAGGAATCTACGGGTGAAAAGCAGCAGTTAGTGATGAGTGAGCTACAGCTAACAGCCAAAAGCAAATTATTTATTGACTCCAACTTACTGTTTCACTTCAGGTTCATCTGGTTTATTTTATCATTTGTGAAATAAAATGGGAGAAAACTATCAGCATCAGTCATAACTTTTTTGTAAACAAAAGTCTGATAAATTAGATGCTCGTTACTTACATTCCTCCATGTCGCCAGCAGCCTGGACCAGCTCCTCATCGGTAGGCTCCACAGATGTCTGTGTGGAAGGAGCTGGTCTAGAGGCTCTGCTGCGGGCTGGAGATGAAATCGTAAACATTAAACCAAAGAAGAGAGTCACGCTGCATCTCTTTGGAATTTCATCCCACCTGGAAATACAGGCTTAGGTGAGTAGGCTACCCTCTTCAGTGCAGCCTGCATCTCCAACCCATACAGAGGCCTGCGTGACGACACGAAGGCAGCGAACCTGAAATCACAAAGACACCTTAGAAGCAGCACTGATGAACTTTAACAATCTCTGAATTTTTAATAATATATTATTAAATATTAATAATAGTAATAAAATATAACTAATAAAAATAAAAAAAAACAGACTGTGCAGCAGTCTTGGCTGACCGCTTCCCTGCCAACGCTAGTCCCTTGGTGGAGAAGACAGACACTGCTGTGGTGGTGGAGGCTGCCGCGGTGGTGGAGGCTGCCGCGGTGGTGGAGGAGACCCTCTCCTTGTCTCTGCGCCGGACGTACTCCATGGCCTTTTCCTTTTGGGAACCAGGAACGGCTGACGTCCGGCGCAGATAGTTGACAAACCTGAGCGGGTGAGACAAAGAGTCAACAGATTCTGACATCCCAGCAGAGGCAAAGCACACACAGTTTCTATCGTTCTCTCATACCGGATCTTCTGAGGATCCTTAGAGCTGTAGATGCTCTCCAGGGTCTCATATTTAAAGTCCCCAAAGCCAACAAGGGCCTGGCCCTCCTGGCCAGGTTGGCGGGACTTTTCCTTCGCCTCCTCAAACGCCCGGTGGAATTTTACCGCATCGGCAAACTCGGGGTATGAGGAGGCGTAGCGCAGGAGGCCGTCCTACAAGTACGAAGGATAGGTTTAGAACTGAGGAGAACCAGAATGCCCTGAAGGACAGATTAAATGCTACCTTGTTGGCCATGAGGGGGGACTGAGACCCTGTCCTCTCACGCTCCTTCTTGTGGGAGTCCACCAGGAGGACGGCGTAGCCCACGTTGTTCTCCAGCAGCCAGTGGAACGTTTGTCCGGCGTACCTCCATTCAAATCATAACTACTTTAATCATCCCAAAGGGAAAACAGATAAATTAAAAAGTGAATTAAATACATACTTGCCGAACTGCAGTGTCCACCAGCTGAGGACGAGGGTGGCGTTGAGGACGTCCCCACCCTCTTGGACGACACGGGCCTGTGCCTCCACCTTCACCTCCTCGGCGGGTTTTTGTCCCTCAGGGCCCCCCTCTGGGCTGCGTTCTGGGACCCCAGAGCCAGGGTAGCAGTGGTGGCCTTCTGGATGAGGCTCCCGCTGGGGAACCTCCTGAATTTAGGATGCTCTGACTAAAAATATTACATTCAAACATTCACAATATGGGAAATAGAATTATAGATGCATTAATACAGCAGTCATTTCAGTTCTCAGAGCATCATAGCAATAAAGATTTACTTACAGCCATTTAAACTGTTGAACAATGTTAATCTGGAGAAAAAAAAGACAGGAAAACTGATCAGCAACAAAATCAAACTTTGTGACAGAAACTATAGGGATAAGATTTTATTTAACCAGAGGTGGGTAGAGTACAGAAGCATTTGAACTAGGCCGCTATAAAACTATACGACCATCACTGTTCCTAACAACCTCCTTTTTCACAGTTTCTACCTTCAGTCAGTTAAATAACATGCTGCTGTCATTTTGCACTTCTCTGATGATGCTGCTATTTTCAAATATCTAATACTGTAAAAATGCCCATAGCTGGATATTGGTTATTTATTCTCCAGGTGCACAGTTTGATATCATTAAAACACTTTACAGTACATGATTTAATTTTATTTTTTTTTAAACTTCACTATTATGTTATTTTACACACTCCTTTTTTAAATAATGTTTTTTTCTGCTGTAAACACCAGAATTTCCACATTGGACAATAACAGGATTTTCTTTTCTATTCTATTCTATTCTAAATAACAGGAGTACAATTTCATATTATTTAACTTCACTGAAGGTAAATAATGTTTTTTTTTTCTGCTGTAAACACCAGAATTTTCCCATTGGACAATAACAGGATTTTCTTTTCTATTCTATTCTAATCTATTCTAATCTAAACAACAGGAGTACAATTTCATTTTATTTTAACTTCACTGAAAGTAAAAGGTACAATGCTGTTAAACTACTCTGATTACAGAAATGTTTAATTATACCTAAATTTATACCTTTATTTATAACTAAATTTATAAAATCTCACTCTTAAAACATCATTTAAAATGATTTGGAATTACAACCCCATCATTTCTTTTATAATTCATGCCCTGCGATCAGGTCAATTTACCGATCGGATCCTTATTACCATGCACAGTCAGCGGACAGCTTTTATTAGTTACCGCTGCTGCTGATAACAAGCTAAAAACAAACCAGCTTCCGATAAAGAACGAGCGCAGCCAAAGGGCCTTCTCAGATTGGAACTACCGAAGCCATCTGATTGGCGCGACACAGGTCTGATTTGGATTTCGGAACCAGAGGAAGCCTCTGATTTGACGAAGCCTGACGAACACTCCGGCACCTGATTGGTTGATATGGAGACCGGGCGCTCTGATTGGTTCTCATTTTAGAACCAGATTGGAACATTGGAACCGAGAGCATCTGCTCCCCGTAGGCGCAAGGATGACACGCGTGATCGTGAAGCGTTTCCATATTTTCTTAACTCATGACCAGGGGAATTTTGAGTCTCTAATAGGGTATCCTGCCGTGACAAACTTCACATGCAAATGACTGCAAAGGACCCACTCACACACTGGAAATTTTTAGAGTGTATAACTCAAGAACCGTGTGGGCTTTGGACCCGAAAAGGCCAACACACGCTCATATGACAGTCTGGAACAAGTGGGTAAAATTTGCTAACTCTACCTATAGTAGAAAATAGAACTTTATTGATCGCACAATGGATAAATTACCTCTCTGCATTTAACCCATCCCCTTGGGGAGCAGTTGGCTGCCAGTGTTCGGCGCCTGGTGAGAAAGGTGGGGTTAATGGTCTTGCTCAGAGAGCCACCTGTGGGTATCTCAGATAGCACATCTAAACACTAGGCCAATATTCTCCCATATGCAACAGTTTGGATAGCCCAACGAGGTGCAACACTGGAGTCCTTGTATTTTCCATGAGGCAACCTCTAAATATGCTGCTTTAACAGTAGACTCTCTTATTTTTGCCAGCAGGGTATCTTCGTACGGTCATAGGACCCTACCACCAATTTTAGGCCAAAACGATCAAGATTGTCGTACAGGGGTAAATTTCGGATATGATGTTTGAGGCCTCACTCTGGGTGGAGCCTGTGAGTTTGATGTCCCAGGTCCTCATGGTACAGTCGCAGCAGCATCTGAGATTGTCAAAATCTGCATTTTTGATGGCTAATATCTCGTAGATGCTTTGTCCAATCTGTACCAAACTTGATTTCTGACTCCCTCCTCTGAGACTCTGCAAAGTAGAAAAAGCCCAGCTTTCTAGAGCTTTCCACCTGCTGTTTTTCCTTCAAAAGAATCCTAGCTGACTGAGACTGATGGCTTTTTCCTCAGTGACAGGGAGCTGCGCACTGTGTAGTTGACCTTAGACTTTTAGAAAGTGACAGCCAAAAAGGCTGGGAAATTTCATTCCCATTCAAGGTAATTGGAGGCATTCCCCTTTTAGTCTTATCTGATTACCTTGTAAATTTTATGCCTGTATTTTACAAGGCATATAGGAATCATGAATGGACTCTTTGCCACGGATCCCGTCAGCTCTGTGTCAATTGGAAGAATAAGCATCTCCAACAAACTAGGGTGGCTCACTCATATCAAAATAGGTGCCTTTGATCTGAAATGATGATGCTTTTGGGCTCCTTCTCCTCTTATAAAGGACACAATAGCTCATGCCTGATCTTAACAAGTGCTGGAGGTTGGGGGGTTTCATTGGCCACCGCTTACCAGCATTCAGCTGCCATGAATGGGATGCTTGACTTAGACCGCTCCACATCATACTTACCTGGCAGGGGGGGATACCTTGATCATGAAGGAGGTTCACCCAGAGTGAGGCTTGGCCATTGCACCCCGGCTGTGCTGACCTTTGCGAATTCCCCAAATGTGGGAATCTCGACTGCATAATTTGTGGTAGTGGGGGACTGCGTACGCGCTCTCCCCTGGTTTATGTCCAAAGAAGTACAGACTATTGGAGGTGATTGAATTTCCTGTCAGACCGTCATAGCACTTGAGTGAACAATATAAAATATATGCTATCCCTAATACAAAATTGTCGAAAATGAAATATTTGCCATATCGGAAGTGTGAATAATGGTTATGGCTCTTCTTCAACATCTGCCGGGTGATGGTGCTAGCCACTGAGTTTAAGTCAATCAATTCTGTCACTGATTATTCTCAATTCATTAACTGAGACCGGGGTTTGGGTTAATGAACTGAGACCAGTCAGTGGCAGAGAAATAACATTTCAGTGCCTGACATCTACCTAAGAGCAGAGGTGCTGGGGAAATTGTTCTCTGTCCCCCCCACCAGCAAAGACTTATTTTAGTGTGGGCAACAATTAATTTTACCTGTCAGAAGCAGTGGCTGTTCAGGCAGCACCGTTTTGCAGTGTTCTCAAAGCCAAGAGGGGTCCAAAAATCAGGCCCTGTTCTTCTCAGCTTGTTGTTAGTTAGCTAGCGACATATGCAAAATTGGATACGATACAGAGAAGATTAGCATGGCCCCTGCGCAAGGATGACACGCGTGATCGTGAAGCGTTTCCATATTTTCTTAACTCATGACCAGGGGAATTTTGAGTCTCTAATAGGGTATCCTGCCGTGACAAACTTCACATGCAAATGACTGCAAAGGACCCACTCACACACTGGAAATTTTTAGAGTGTATAACTCAAGAACCGTGTGGGCTTTGGACCCGAAAAGGCCAACACACGCTCATATGACAGTCTGGAACAAGTGGGTAAAATTTGCTAACTCTACCTATAGTAGAAAATAGAACTTTATTGATCGCACAATGGATAAATTACCTCTCTGCATTTAACCCATCCCCTTGGGGAGCAGTTGGCTGCCAGTGTTCGGCGCCTGGTGAGAAAGGTGGGGTTAATGGTCTTGCTCAGAGAGCCACCTGTGGGTATCTCAGATAGCACATCTAAACACTAGGCCAATATTCTCCCATATGCAACAGTTTGGATAGCCCAACGAGGTGCAACACTGGAGTCCTTGTATTTTCCATGAGGCAACCTCTAAATATGCTGCTTTAACAGTAGACTCTCTTATTTTTGCCAGCAGGGTATCTTCGTACGGTCATAGGACCCTACCACCAATTTTAGGCCAAAACGATCAAGATTGTCGTACAGGGGTAAATTTCGGATATGATGTTTGAGGCCTCACTCTGGGTGGAGCCTGTGAGTTTGATGTCCCAGGTCCTCATGGTACAGTCGCAGCAGCATCTGAGATTGTCAAAATCTGCATTTTTGATGGCTAATATCTCGTAGATGCTTTGTCCAATCTGTACCAAACTTGATTTCTGACTCCCTCCTCTGAGACTCTGCAAAGTAGAAAAAGCCCAGCTTTCTAGAGCTTTCCACCTGCTGTTTTTCCTTCAAAAGAATCCTAGCTGACTGAGACTGATGGCTTTTTCCTCAGTGACAGGGAGCTGCGCACTGTGTAGTTGACCTTAGACTTTTAGAAAGTGACAGCCAAAAAGGCTGGGAAATTTCATTCCCATTCAAGGTAATTGGAGGCATTCCCCTTTTAGTCTTATCTGATTACCTTGTAGATTTTATGCCTGTATTTTACAAGGCATATAGGAATCATGAATGGACTCTTTGCCACAGAATCCCTTCAGCTTTGTGACCCATCAGTGATTGGTTGGATGTTGAAGCATCACTTCTTGCCATCCTTTCTGAGAATCAACTGGAAAATGATGTATTTGATGATCAGCAGGTTCTAAAGCAGAAATTATGAGCTGTTTGGGTTATTTAAATTAAAGATGGTCAGAATTATAGCGTAAGTTGAAGTTGTAGGTAAGCTTTATAGGAACATCATAAAATATTTAGCCTATTAAAATAGTTAATTTTATCCATTCTAGGGGATTTTATTACACCTGTTTAAGTAGAAATTCTCTAAATAGAAAGATTTGCTTCATCATGAAGGGTATTGTAGGTAGCCTATTGAAAGAGAGAAATGTCTTCAACTTGCAGGATTGGAGGCAGATTTTGAGATCCTAAAGGTTTTGCTGTAAACTACCACTAATAGTTTAACTGACTGAGGTTTCTGTGTTTTCACAGATTTGACTGCTGATCCTTTCATGCATCTACATCTCAGTGATGAAAGTTCTCACTCACCCTGGAAAAATAATGGTCTAACCTTGAGGATTCCTGTCTGAGACATTTTAATCTGTTAATTCAGTGGAGAAAGCACACATTTATGTATTTTAAAACAAATATAAACACATTTGAATGTTTATTTAATTCCTTGTGGTTCAAATTTGCCTGTTGTAACAGTTTGGTCTCTGTTTTTGACTGAGGATCATAGTCAGCAGGACTGTCATCAACAGAGACTTTTGCATTCTTTCATTAGTTACTCTGCTCTTCCATATTTAATAAGTTACCAAATGATACCTCATGCAATTTCCTAAGAATGTGCCTCGTTCACATGTAATTGTAGTATAAGAGCAATAAATAAAATGATGGTATCCAAATCAAACTTCTGCATTATCTTGCTGTTAAAGACTGTAAATGAAAGGAATTTTTGTTGTTTCAATGTTAAAGTGTTATGTTTTGTATAAATATATACATATATTCCAGAAACTGTTCCTTTATCAATTAATGACTTTATTAAACGGTGTTTTCAAAACAATTCCACTCTTTACAAGAGCTTGAACATTATATAACATAACGAAACATCAAAGACTGGTGCAAACAACAAGGGAAATATACAGGGCAGCAGCTTTAAGTAGTATCAAAAAATATGTTTCAAGTATAAAAGGCATGTAAATAAATACAGGGAACGTACTATTAAATAAGTCAGGAAATATTTACAATAAAGAACAATGTAATTTTTTTTGAAATAGTATAAACATAAACAAATGTAATAGTAAAACGGTTTGTGAAATATTTACAAAGATTAAGCATAATTACTACTTTAAACATGTCTGAAATTAAACAATAAAAACTATATACATTAAAATACTAATATACTGCAAACTAATTGCCCAAAGTCAGTGCTCTAGCGCATCCACAACAGAGATAAAATGTTCGGAACTTTCATACACTCTCTGATCCAGACCTTTAGATGATGATATCATCTTTATTGGGCAGAATTACTTTTTCTTATACTTTTTATGGCCCTGTAGGTGTTGGCCACAGACTGTACAAAGAGGCAACTTGTCCACTTTGTGCATCTTCAATCCGATTGATTTGAGATCTTCCTTCAACTTCCGCTTGTACAGTGTGGCTCTTGACCAGTTTGGCTCTTTAGCTGTGCCAGCTGAAGAGACATCAGGGATCAC